TGGTATTGCACAGAACCATCTGTAAATCAGGCATGAATTTTCTCTTCTTAGTCAACTGATCGTACGGAACTCCCCATGAGGCCATAGGTGCAGACTGGGAGATGGAAGGTAATGTGACAGGAATGGAGACTGTCATGGTTTGAATTATGTCCCCCCAAAAATGTGTGTATCAATTTGGCTGGGCCATGATTCCCAGAATTGTGTGGTTGGCCTCCATTTTGTGATTGTAATTTTATGTTAAAGAGGATTAGGGTGGGATTGTAACACCATCTTTACCCAGGTCACAACCAATGTAAAGGGAGTTTCCCTGGGGTGTGGCCTGCACCACCTTTTATCTCTCAAAAGAGATAAAAGGAAAGGGAAGCAAGCAGAGAGTTGGGGACCTCATACCATCAAGAAAGCAGTGCCGGAAGCAGAGCACGTCCTCTGGACCAGGGTCCCTGCCCAGAGAAGCTCCTAGTCCAGGGGAACACTGAAGAGAAGAAAGCCGACAGAGAGAAAAAGTCTTCCCCTGGAGATGATGCCCTGAATTTGGACTTTTAGCCTACTTTAACTGTGAGGAAATAAATTTCTCTTTGTTAAAGCCATCCACTTGTGGTATTTCTGTTGTAGCAGCACTGGATAACTAAGACAGAGACCATGGGCATTTGGGCCACTTCCTCATGCAACTTACTTGTGTCTTCGGGTCCTGCTAGGGCTCAATCTCGTATATACCACTTCCATTTAATGATGGAGTGCTGCTGTGCATGACCAACTTTATGACTCAGTGGGTCAGACAACACCCAGTTCGTGATGGGCAGCTCAGGCCGCATGGTGACTTGGTGCCCCATGATTAAGCATTCAGTCTCTACTAAGGCCCAGTACCAAGCCAAAAGTTGTTTCTCAGAAGGACAGTAGTTATCTGCAGAGAATGGCAGAGCTTTGCTCCAAAATCCTAAGGGTCTGCGCTGTGATTCACCAACAGGTGCCTGCTAAAGGCCCCAAACAGCATCTCTATCTGCTACTGACACTTCAAGCACCACTGGATCAACCGGATCATATGATCCAAGTGGCCGATCAGCTTGCATAGCAGGCTGAACCTGTTGCAGAGCCTTCTCTTGTTCTGGTCCCCACTCAAAACTGGCTGTTTTTTGAGTCACTTGATAAATAGGCTGGAGTAGCACACACAAATGAGGAATATGTTGCCTCAAAAATCCAAACAGGCCCACTAGGCGTTGTGCCTCGTTTTTAGTTGTGGGAGCAGCAAGATGCAATAACTTATCCAACACTTTAGAAGGAATGTCTCGACATGCCCCACACCACTAAGCCCTAGAAATGTCACTGAAGTGGAAGGTGCCTGAATTTTTGTGGGATTAGTTTCCCACCCTCTAGCATGCACATGTTTTACCAATAAGTCCAGAGTCATTGACACTTCTTCCTTACTAGGTCCAATCAGCATAATGTCATCAATGTAATGGACCAGTGTGAAGTCTTGTGGAAGGGAAAGATGATCAAGTTCCCTGCAGACTAAATTATGACATAGGGCTGGAAAGTTGATGTAGCGCTGAGGTAGGCAAGTTAAGGTGTATTGCTGGCCTTGCCAGCTGAAGGCAAACTGCTTCTGGTTGTCCTTTGTAACAGGTATGGAGAAAAAGGCATTAGCCAGATCAATAGCCACATACCAGGTACCAGGAGATGCATTCATTTGCTCAAGCAGTGAAACTACATCTGGAACAGCAGCTACAATTGGAGTCACTACCTGGTTAAGTTTTCGATAATCTATTGTTGTTCTCTAAGATCCATCTGTTTTTTGCACAGGCCAAATAGGCAAGTTGAATGTGGATGTGGAGGAATCCCCACCCTTGCATCCTTCAAGTCCTTGATGGTGGCAGTAATCTCTGCAATCCCTCCAGGAATGCGTTATTGCTATTGGTTTACTATTTTCCTGGATAGTGGCAGTTCTAATGGCTTCCACTTGGCTTTTCCTACCATAAGAGCCCTTACTCTGTTTGTCAGGGATCTTATGTGGGGGTTCTGCCAGTTGCTGAGTATATCTATTGCAATTATGCATTCTGGAACTGGGGAAATCACTACAGGATGGGTTTGGGGACCCACTGGACCTACTGTGAGACGGACATGAGCCAAGACTCCATTAATAACCTGGCCTCCATATGTCCCCACTCTGACTGGTGGGCCACAGTGTCATTTTGGGCCTTCTGGAATTAGTGTCAGTTCAGGGCCAAGTATCCAGTAATCCCTGAAAAGTCTGATTATTTCCTTTTCCCCAATGAACAGTCACTCTCATAAAAGGCCATAGATCCCTTTGGGGAAGGCTGGGAGAAAGGTTAACGGTAAAAATTTTGGGCAGTGTATTGGAGTCCTTCCTCAAGGGGACCTGGCCTCCCCTTCATTCAAGGGGCTGCGGGTCTTTAAACTCACTCAAATCTGGGAATTGATCTAAGGACCATGACTCTCTATTCAGCGATTTGAGTTAGACTGCTGTTCACCTGACCTAGAATTCATCGGTTTATATAGATCAAGTAAATATTTAGTAGATTTCCTATCTATTCACTCCTAGGGACACCATGACTAAGTAGCCGATGCCATAATCCCATACGAGTCAGACTGTTCTGATTACTGCTTTGACTCCTCTATCCGTTACTGTAACCATGCCCACCTTGTCTTTGTCAATTGAGTGCAGCCAGTTGGCCCCTACTACCACAGGGTCCAATCAGCCCCATTGTAGTTAGGTGTCTTAATTTAGTTAGGGCTGTTCCCACTGTCAAATCTGACTTACATAAAATAGCAATCACAGCAGTCTTCAAGTATACTGGAGCTCCCTTCACAAATTTGTTCCTCAAAGTTATGGTAAAAGGTGTGTCCTCTGGACACTCCATGTGTGGGTCTGTAGGCCTAACTTGATAAATCCACTCTAGCACACCAATTTCCCTAAGCTTTTAGATACCTTGTTCTACAGTATACCAAGGCAGGTCTGGTGCTTCAACTCGATTTAGTGTAGGCCACCTCGTAATCCATGCTTCAGCAACCCAACCAAATAAACTATTCGATCCTTTCCTAACTTCCTTAGTTGAAACATTGAATGAGCAGCATGTGCTTAGTGGACCCATATCAGTAAACTCAGACTGATCCATCTTTATGTTCCTTGCACCATTATCCACACCCTTAATAGCCATTCCCACACATATTCCCCAGGTTTCTGTTTGTACATATTAGAAACGTCAAGTAGTTGTTTTGGAGTGTGACCCTCCTTTGTACTTCACCTTTTGGGGCTCGCTGGAACTTAAGCCTAGTTATAGGTCTAGAAGCCAGAATCAATAGTGTTGAATTGTTTTGAGAACATTCAGCATTGTCTTGTAGTGCCCCAGGCAGTGACTCAGGCAAGGGCTCTTTAGAGGCAGCTGGGCTAGGGCTAATCTCATTAGATGGGAGTGGAAGGGCTAATGGTTCTTCTGGGCAGGGTGGTTTAGAAGACAAACCTGAAGCAATCTCTTCAGATAGGACTGGTTCTGCTGGCAGGAGTGATTCAACCGAATTTGCAGGCTCAGTGTCCCCAGCTTCCTGATTATATGCCCATATGTCCCTATCCCAAGTCTCAGGATCCCATCTCTTCCCAATCAATGCCCTTACTTTAACTTCAGGCACCTCTCGAGTTTGGCAATTAAGCTGGCATTGTAATTTAGTCACTGTTACAATAAGACTCTGGGTTTGGTTTTTGGCAATTTCAGCTCTGTTACTAGAAGAAATAAGGCTTTCTTTCAAAGCACAAGTGGAAGCCTTGAGGTCATGTATGTGACACTTGAGCTTTGACTCTGAAGCCCTGAGCACATCTCTTTGTTTCACCAGTTTGTCTAGCGAAAGTAGGACAAACCAACCAGCTTCCTTATACTTCTCATTCTGACAAAGCTGTAGAATGATATCACATGTGTTCATCCTGAGCCTCCCCTTTCACCAATACCTGATCTACTGGTGGTGATATTTTGCGTATTTGTATTTCTACCTCACTCCATGGATGAGCAGTGGCCTCTTTACTGCTGGATGCAGAGTCATCAACATCTTTAAGGCTAACCAGACTTGAGAACCAATTTAGAAAACTCATCCTTACAATTTTGTTTTTCGAGAACCACTCTCAGTACCAAATGTCTTAGGCTGAGTTCTCTAGAGAAGCAAAACCAGTAAAGTGTATAAATATATATAGAGAGGGGGTTTATATCAAGGAAACAGCTCACACGATTGTAGAGGCTAGAATGTCCCAAGTCCACGGATCAGGGTAGAGCCCTCTCCCAAGTCATGCAGCTGCAGAAGCAGGTGAGCCCAAGATCAACAGGTCAGAAAGCAGGGCTCTGCTCACAGGCTGTGAAGATAAACAAATCCCAAGTTCGGCAGATAAGCTGACAGCTGAAGTCCCAGGAACCGGAAATGAGATGACAGAAGGCAGCTGCAGGATCCAGAGAGAGCAAAAAGCCAGATGGCTGCTTATATTCAGATGCAGGCCACACCCCCAAGGAAACTCCCTTTCATCTGGTTGGCTACTCACAGTATACTCAATCATGGGTGTGATCACATTTAAACACTGAGAATCATGACCCAGCCAAGTTGACACACAATCTTAACCATCACAAAGGGGATACTGTGCGCTTTAAATTCAGGCAGTGTGTGTGGCAGGATTGTATCCTTTCACCATACTTACACAATCTGTATGCTGAGCAAATAATCTGAGAAGCTGAACTAGAGGAAGACTTATTAACAACCTGCAATATGCAGATGACACAACCTTGCTTGCTGAAAGTGAAGAAGACTTGAAGCACTTATTGATGAAAATGAAAGACTGCAGCCTTCAGTATGGATTATACCTCAATATAAAGAAAACAGAAGTCCTCACAACTGGACCAATAAACAACATAAGAATAAATGGAGAAAAGATTGAAGTTGTCAAGGATTTCATTTTACTTGGATCCACAATCAACGCTCATGGAAACAGCAGTCATGAAATCAAATGGCACGTGCTGGCTTCGGCAACACGCGTACTAAAATTGGGATAATGCAGAGGTTATCATGGCCCCTGCACAAGGTGGATGATGTGCAAATTCATGGTGGATTCCATATTTTTAAAACGATATGCATATTAATTGTTTAATGAGAAACTAATTTGCTCTGTAAACCTTCATCTAAAGTACAATTAAAAAAAAAAAAGAAATCAAATGACACATTGCATCAGGCAAATCTGCTGCAAAAGACCTCTTTAAAGCATTAAAAAGCAAAGATGTAACTTCAAGGACTAAGGTATGCCTAACCCAAGCCATGATGTTTTCAATCACCACCCTGGTGGTGCAGTGGTTAAGCATTCGGCTGCTAACTAAAATGTCTGCCGTTCAAATCCTCCAGCTGCTCCTTGGAAACCTTACGGAGCAGTTCTACTCTGTCCTATAGGGTTGTTATGAGTTGGAATTGACTCAACCTCGACAGCAATGGGGTAAAACATGGGGTTTTATATGCATGTGGAAGCTGGACAATGAATAAAGAAGACTGAATAAGAATTGATGCCTTTGAATTATGGTGTTGGTGAAGAATATTGAATGTACTGTGGACTGCCAGAAGATGAACAAATCTGTCTTGGAAGAAGTACAGCCAGGATGCTCCTTAGAAGTAAGTTTGGCAAGACTTCATCTCACATATTTGGACATGTTATCAGGAGGGACCAGTCCCTGGAAAAGGACATCATGCTTGATAAAGTAGACAGCCAGTGAAAAAGAGGAAGACCTTCAATGAGATGGATTGATATAGTGGCTGCAACAATGGACTCAACAATTGTGAGGCTGGTATAGGACCGAGACTGTTTCCTGCTGTTGTAGATAGGTTCACTATGAATCAGAACCAACTGGAAGGCATCTAACAGTAACAACATTCCCATAAACTTATTATAAAGCTTCAATGATTTCGGAAGATGTTCACTTGAGTTTTGTTAAAAATTTTATATTAGCCTGACCTCAAAATGTTTTTTTTTTCCACAGCTCAAAAAGTATCCTTTTTTTGAAGGCACCCTAATGAGACTAAGACAAGTGTATTACTGAGAGAACTTGTCTGCAGCCATCCACTGACTGCAGAGATATTTTGTTTGGAATAAACCTGTGCATGTATGAACTGGAACACTGGTATCAATATCTTTTCACTTACCCTTGTATTTTATCTTTTTAGGGGCTCTTATAAATGGTATTGTTTTCCTTTTTGATGTTCTTTTTGTTGGTGTATAGGAATACAACTGATCTTGTAAATTATATGTATGTATGTAAGTTGATCTTGTATGTATGTTGATCTTGTATCCTGCTACTCTGGTGAATCTTTTATTAGAGTAGTTTTGATGTAGAGTCTTTGGTGTTCTCTATGTAGAGTATCATATCATGTGTGAATAGGGATAGTTTTACTTCTTCCTTTCCAATTTGGATGTCCTTTATTTCTTTTTCTTGCCTTGTTTCTCTTGCTAGGAATTTCAGCACAATATTAAATAGAAGTGCTGATAAAGGGCATCTTTGTCTTGTTCCTGTTCTCAGGGGAATGCTTTCAGCTTCTCTCCATTAAGAATGATGTTGGCTGTTGTTTTTGTATAGATGCTCTTTATTATGTTGAGGAATTTCCTTTCTATTCCTATTTTATTGGGAGTTTTTATCAGGAATGAGTGTTGGACTTTATCAAATGCCTTTTCTGTGTGGATTGAGATGACTATGTAATCTTTTCTTTTGTTCTATTTATGTGGTGGTTTACGTTGACTCATTTTCTAATGTGGAACCATCCTTGTATACCTGATATGAATCTCACTTAGCCGTGGTGTATTATTTTTTTTTGATATGATGCTGAATTCTATTAGCTAGAATTTTGTTGAGAACTTTTGCATCTGTAGTCATGAGAGATATTGGTCTTTTCCTGGCTTTGGCATTAGGCTTATGCTGGTTTCATAGAATGAATCTGGGAGTATTATTTCCTTTTCTGTGCTCTGAACTAGTTTGAGTAGTACTGGTGTGAGCTCTTCTTTGAATGTTTGGTAGAATTCTCCAGTTAAACCTTCTGGGCCAGGGCTTTTTTTGTTGGAAGTTTTTTACTACTTCTTCAATCTCTTCTCTTGTTATGGGTCTGTTCAGATTTTTTATCTCAGTTTGTGTTAGTTTAGGTAAGTAGCCTGTTTTTAGAATTTGTTCATTTCCTCTAAGTTCTCAAATTTGTTGGAGTACAATTTTTCATAGTATTCTTTTATGATCTTTCTTTTTTTTTTTCAGTTGGGTCTGTTGTAACATCCCCCATCTCATTTGTTATTTGGGTTATTTCCTTCCTCTTCTGTTTTTCTTTTGTCAGTTTTGCTAATGGTTTGTCAATTTTGTTGACCTTTTCAAAGAACCAAATTTTGGTCTTGTTGATTCTTTCTAGTGCTTTTCTGTTCTCTATTTCATTTATTTCTTCTCTAATCTTTATTATCTCCTTTTTCTGGTGGTTGTGGGCTTCTTTTGGTGTTCTCTTTCTATTCCAGTTGTAGGGATAACATTTTGATTTTGATCCATTCTTCTTTTTGATGTGTGCATTTATTGCTATAAATTGGCCTCTTAGCACTGCCTTTTCTGTGTGCCAAATGTTTTGGTATGATGTGTTTTCATTCTTATTTGATTCTAGGGTTATTTTGATTCCCTCTTTGATTTCTTCTATTACCCAGTTGTTTTTAAGCAAGCTGTTATTCAGTTTCCGTTTAGTTTATTTTTTTTCCTTGCTCTTTCTGTTATTGATTTCTACTTTTATGGTGTTATGATCAAAAATAATGTTTTGTATTGTTTCAATGTTTTGGATTTTATTGAAGGTTACTTTGTGGCCTAAAATGTGGTCTATTCTGTAGACTGTTTCATTTCTATCAGAAGAGAATGTATACTTTGCTGTTGTCGGTTGGATTGTTTTCTCTCTAAATATAGGTCAAGTTGGTTGATTTTGGCCTTTAAACCTTCTGTATTTTTATTGATTTTCTCTCTAAATGTTCTGTCCTTTATCAGGAGTGGTGTGTTGAAGTCTCCTACTATTATTGAGGAACTGTATTTCTCTTTTCAGTCCTGTTAGAGTTTGTTTTATGTATTTTGGAGCCCTGTTGTTGGCTGCATAGGTATTTATTAAGGTTATGTTTTCTTGATGGATTGTCCCTTTAATCATTATATAATGCCCTTCCTTGTCTTTTATGGTTGATTTTGCCTTAGGTCTATTTTATCTGAGATTGTCACTGGAGTATTGCTACTCCAGTCCTTTTTTGGTTACTATTTGCTTGATATAGTTTTGTCATCCTTTGATTTTGAATATATTTATGTTTTTCTGCCTAAGGTGTGTCTTTTGTAGATAGCATATTGATGGGTCATGCTTTTTTATCCATTCTGCCACTCTCTGTCTCTTTACAGGTACATTTAATCCATTTACATTTAGTGTGATTATTGATAGGTATAAGTTTATTGCTGTCATATTGTTGTGCTTTTTTGTGTGGTGCTAATGTTTTCTTTGTCCCTCTTACTTTCCTGTGCTGATTTCCTTTTGTTTGTGGATTTTCTTTTCTTTCATTATTATACATTTTGTGTTTACTGAGACTTTATGGTTTTCTTCTTTTTTATTCTGATGTGTAGGTTTGTCATCTATTTTTGTATTTACCTTGAAATTTACCCTTATTTTTCTAAGTTTGAACAGTTTTTTATTACTTGGTATCACCTTGACTTCCTCTCCTTTTGAAAGTTCTATATCTACACTGTTTATTCCCCTCTTTTATTATTTCAATGTTGTCGCCATGTACAGATTGACGTCTCTGTTTCCCTGTTTTAAGTCCTTTATCTTTGTTTCATAATTGAGAGTTCTTTACCTAGGTCAGCATCTGGCTGATGCTGTCCTGTGTCCTAGGCTCCAGTTGTTGTCTGATGTGGGTTATCTAATCGAAGAACTCCTTTTGATATTTCTGTTAAGTTTGGTTTGGTTTGTATGAATTCCCTTAACTTTTGTTTATCTGGAAATGTCCTGTCATGGTTTGAATTATGTCCCCCCAAAAATTGTGTGTCTATTTGGCTAGACCATGATTCCTGGTACTGTGTGATTTTCCTGTATGTTGTAAACCTGCCTCTGTGATGTTAATGAAGGAGGATGCGTGGCAGTTGTGTTAGTAAGGCAGGGCCTGATCTACAAGACTGGATTGTGTCCTGAGGCAATCTCTTGAGATATAAAAGACAGAAGTGAGCAGTGAGACAGGGGGACCTCATACCATCAAGAAAGCAGTGCCAGGAGCAGAGCGTGTCCTTTGGACCGGGGTCCCTGTGCCAAAAAGCTCCTAGTCCGGGGGAACACTGATGAGAAGGCCGAGAGAGAGAAAGCCTTCCCCTGGAACTGACACCCTGAATTTGGACTTTTAGCCTACTTTACTGTAAGGAAATAAACTTCTCTTTGTTAAAACCATCCACTTGTGGTACTTCTGTTAAAGCAGCACTAGATGACCAAGACATGTCCTAATTTCACCATTGTATTTGAGAGATAGTTTTGCAGGATATATTATTCTTGACTGGCATTTTTTGTTCTTTCAAGGTTTTATATATCATTCCATTGCCTTCTTGCCTGCATACTTTCTGCTGAATAATCAGAGCTTAGTCATATTGTTTCCCCTTTGTAAGTGACTTTTCATTTTACTTGAACTGCTCTCAGGATTCTTCCTTTATCCTTGTTTTCACAAGTGTGATTATGATATGTTTTGGTTAATTTATTTTGGGGTAGATCCTATATGGGGTTCGTTGAGCTTCTTAGAAGGTCAGGTTGTTTTTGTTATGATATAAGGGAAATTTTCTGCCAGAAAATCTTCAACAATCTTCTGTGTTTTTCAATTTTCTCATCTTGTTCTGGAACTCCGATTGTGTGCAAATTTTTGTTCTTGATTGTGTCCCACATAATTCTTAGGTGTTCTTCATCTTTCCTTATTCTTTTCTCTGATTTTTTCTCAAAGTGATGTCATTTGATTTGTCCTCAATCTCACCAGTTGTGTCTTCTATTGTGTCAAATTTTCTCCTAAAACCTTCTATCGAGTCATCCACTTCTGAAATTTCGTTGTTAATCTTTTGGATTTAT